GTCTCCTTGATTTAGTACAACTGCGACAGTACTACAAATGGCAAAATATATATTGAAGAGTTGCGATAACAACTCATCATTCATGTATCCTCCAAAATATTCTCGAACCACTTCAAACAAATTCAAAATGCTGTGAAGCTTTCCAGGACTGGTTACGGACTTCAAGTCCATTTCGGTCATGATTTTCTCATATATCACACGAGGTTTCATATCTAAGTATTCTTTGTAATACGAGAAAGCCATTTCAATGAACATTTTTAGTTCATTTTCGGTACAGCCAGCCAGATACCGCATTACAAGTGATCGTCGCGTTTGACCACCTCCTTTCTTTTCTGCTACAAGTTTTGATGTCATCTTTCCATAAAGTATCCTTAAAATAATAGGAACTACATGTTCTCTATCCTCAGACTGAATACTTTTGGCATCTTCAGTGATTTTAAATAGGGTTAGTTCATCTTTGAATTTCTTCTCATCAACCAAGTTGCACAAATTGCTCTTATACTGAATAACATTTTTGTTTTTGTAGTTCAGTACGCAATCCAAAGCATACTTCTGCAAGCCAGGGTTTTTGTGTTTTAAAAATTCCATGTACAGTTCCCAGAAAACTGGTTCCTTATGTAAAGCTCTCGGGTTTTTAAATTGAGATAAAACTTGCATTATATTGATGAGAGTTTTAAAAACTATTTTTCCTGAAACAGTTTCCTTAGGATCTTCGTCCACCTCTTCAATGATTTCTTCATTATTTTCAGTATTTTCTTCAGGCTGTTCATCATCAGTTCCCATTTTATTAGCATGTGTCTCCATATCAATTTTAAGAGCATTCATCCGGTCATTCTTCCTGTATTCCTCATCAATGAAATTCAAGAACAAAACTACGACATCGCGATTCCTTGTTTCACAAACTTGGATGCAATTCATCATAACTTTAAGGATCAAATTCCTATAATTGTACAAGTCAGGCCTTTCACTAATGCTATTGTAATCAGAATATAATGTTTGTAGTATTTCAAAGTTTGTGTCTAATTCATCATCAAATTGGAATTGTTTGAGATTTTTCTTTGCATTTAAAAATGAGGATTCCAGTGCACTATGAAAAGTCGGCCAGAAGTCGTCTACATTTAAGGAGTTTCCGTAACCCGCTATGAATTCTGTGACGGGTTCCCAGAGCAGTTTGAAATTGACATATAAAGTGCCAAGCATGTAATTTAGAGCAAACAGATGAAAATCTGTATCTTTTGCTAGAGCATACTGACTTGTGTTGAAGGCCATGTTCTGAAGCAGGTTCAACTGAGTCCTGTACTCTTGGATTGATGGCTTTATGGATTCGACTGAATAACATTTGCTGAATATTGAGAATTTCTCTACTGTTCCACCAACTTCTACAGTTTTATTAAGTTCTTCTATATTTTCAAACAGTTTGTAAATGTGAGTAGTTAGAAGGCGAACCTGAAATTACACAAAAAAGAACATTACATTACTTCTATACATATTACATCTGTCATCTATGTATATAGACTGCCTCGTTGGCCGAGTTGTCGGGTTTGATTCCCAGGTCGGGCAAATTATACTGGGCTTTTTTTAAAATTCTCAGTAGTAGCACAGAGACTGGAATTGTGCCCGGTATATGGCAATAGGCTCACCCCCTATTACATGGGACTCATAACATAAACAGTGATAAGTGGATGTTACATTGTACAGTGGTATAATGTGCATCCCTGCTTATCCCTTCAGGGATAAAAGGCTTGATGTTATGTTATCTATGTGTATATTTTTTTACAACATACAACAACAGCAACAACACTAGGAGTTTCTCATATGTAGTGGGTGCGTTTACAAACATACATCACATACACATGACACCCAGACCCGAAACAACAATTTGCATGTCGCACAAAGAGCTGATCTGTGCGGGTATCGAACCCGCTGCACGTTACGCGGCAACCGGTTGACCAGCCAGTGCGCCAACCGTGCAGATTATTATGTGCTTAGAAGTACATGAAAAACACTTACCACATGAAAAGGTGAAGACACATTAGTTTTGAGATATGAATTGACTAATGACAAATATGGATAAGTTAATCCATTCTCATGCTCATAAGCTGTGAGATACAAATCTAGAAGGTGCAGGGAGCAAAGGTAATTGGGATCCGCAGCACATGGCAGGATTACAGGCAACAACGCATCTATGTCACAAATCTCATTCAGCTTCTTACAACTTGATATATGAACTGCACTTTCTAGAGCCACTGACAGTATGAAAAGCACTTTCCTAGCAGATCTTGATAGTGCAGTAGTGTCACAGTGAAATTTATTCTCCTTAGGCTGGTTCTCCAGGTTGTAACTCTTCAATATATCCAACAGTTTTGATATCAACTGGGCTAGCATCTTCACACAATGGTCAACATCAATTTTTTCAACATGCGGCAAACAAAACAAAATATTTGTAAGCCTCACAGGATTCTCCACATATTTCTCTATGTCTTCTGAGATGACATTTTCAAAATGCTCCATAAAGTTTCGAAGGTACTTTCCAAAGTCCAAAGGGTATTTCACCCATTCAAATAACTTTATACCATTCATAGACAAGGGTGATTTTTTCAGGCATATCTTAGTTAGAGTGCCTAGGGCCTCATTATCGAAATTGGACTGAATGACAAATTTGATAAAAGGAGGTAAGATGTGTAAATCAAACTGTGAATATTCAATGACATTTTGTACAAAGTTTATCAATATGTTTGGGAATGGTAAAGGCAGTAGAACTTTGACGATGATACCAGCATGTTCTTGAGATAAAGAAACGTTTGGGGAAAGTAGTAGAACAGCTCCTATTTGAGAACATACTTCCAGAACACTCTCAGAGGACTGTTCACAAATAACTTTTATGAGTAACAGCACAAATTGTGGAGGGTTTATCAGATACTTCCCCTGCTGATGTTCTATGACCTGACCGGCAAGCCTTAAAATATATTCCAAACCTTTACTTTCTTCATCATCATCCTTCAATATTTCTTCAGTAAATTTAATGATGCTTGACCAGAATACACCATATTCTTTGTGTGATATAACTTGCAAACTGTCCTCTATTGTCTGTGTTAGCACTTTGAACAGTATTTCCTGGTGTTCCTTATTTTCTTTAAGATATTGAAGAAGCAGGGGAAGGAATGTTTCTATACAACTGTGGAATTTTCCAGTCACTCCCCGCAGTATTTCAAATATTAGGTGACCACAACCAGCAATGGCCTGGAAAGATATTAAAAAAATACATTCATAACATTGAACTAAGGACTATTTCATGGAAGTGATCGGTCAAGTTACTCTATGCACCTGTTACCCAGAACTCATTGAAAATATTTGAAATAGGAAACTATTTTTTTTTTAAAGGGTCCTAATTATCTTGACCTTGAGTAGTAAAAGTTGTTACTGTAAGAAACACATTTAAATAATAATTATTAAATTAATACTCACATCATCATTAGTCTGCAAATAGTTTAGTACAAGACTAACAAACTTCTTTTTGTCCCTTATATCTCTTGCAACAAAAGCAAAGCTTTCAGCAGCAAAATTATTTATATACTGTGGTTGAGATTCGCTTAGCAAAGGTATAATCCTCTTTAAGACCACTGCTATGTCCTTTTTTAAGTATGGTTTCAGGATTTTGAACAAGAATGCTAAACAGACTAGAGTCCATTCTAGTCTATCAGCATCCTTAGTGTTTAGCAGCTTTATAAGGATATCCAAAAATCTTGGGAAGTATGGATAGAAGTCTTCTCTCAAGTCTTTTGCCACTGATACTAGGATTCTGAAAAAAGGAAATAAGAAACAGAACATAAGTAACTATAGTGGAAATTTTCCAATTATTAATTTTGTACATCACCAAGAATATCATCCTGACGAGGACTGGAATAACCATTCCAATGCCATAAGATCACCCAAGTAAGCAGTTGATAAATAAAGGCTAAAATATACTCTGGTTACTTACTCAAGCAGAGGCTGCAAGCATAGTTGGTCTTCTAGTTTCAAATATTTTTCCAATATCTCAACAACTTCATCTTTCTTGTGAACAAGTTGCGGCACAGTTATTATACCAAAGACTTCCTTTCTAAACTTTTTAAAATTATCTGTTAAGTTGAGCACATGCCACTTTTGTAGTGCCACAAAGAAATGAGTTTCATTTTCTTCAGGCTGCTGTGCATATGCATGCTCAATGTGGTAAAGAGCAGCATGACGGATGTCGATAGCATTGATTCGTTCCGCAAAAGGAACAAACTGTAAAAAGAAATGTTATGATGTAATTTCATAAATACCACGCAAATTTTTGCTAATAAGAGCGATAATATCCATTGAAATGTAGCACACACATAATTTTGGAAAAGATAATCAAGGCTTCTACAAAATTTCAAGAGCTTATGCCCCGAAATGTAAATAAAATAGTTGAAAATATTGGAGATTTTCAAACCTCGCACTTAACCTATAACTTCACCATAATAAATGTGTTTTGTTACTTACACGAAAAGTATTCGTAGACTTATGTTTAACTGGTTTACTTTTCATGTTGTAGCCGTTTATTTAGAGTATCATTTATTCACAAAATTCTCAAAAACTTTAATAAATTGTAAATAAATCCACATGCCGACGACAGAACGTCAACTTCACAACACTTCACTGACTCGTGCTGCTTGACATTTGACATTGACATCTTGACAATATTCACACTTGACGTTCACATAGTTTTAATGTTACCAACACTTATCTCGTAGCCATTTCTCCTTGGATGTACATCAACATTTGGAACCCGTTATCTCAAATTATTTATATATTACTGAACAAGCCCAAACATAATATAAAAGTTGCAATTTTATTTATGGTTTCCCTAAAAATAACTTGATAGAAATATACAACCGAAGTAAAACATTTTTGATCGGTTAAAAAATCCATCTGTCGACTGTCAGTATCTGTCAATACAGCAGCAGCTGACTGATAAGGTATTTTGTTTTTGCTTGCTTATCAATTTATTAAAATTTACAAAAAAAAAATACACTAAATCTCCATTTCATATTTTTTAGTATTAATGTAATAAACCAAGTTTATTATACAATGCTTGCCAGGTTTGTGAATTCTTTGCCGACTGGCTTATCGCAGCGAATCACCAAGCTGTACTTTCAAGGTATTTTTTTACATATTTTTCAAAATTTGGTTGACAATGTTGATAATTCTGACTTTCCGACTTCTCCATTCTCCATGAAAAGAGAAAGAGTATCTTAGCATAAAGAAAACAAAAATATGTTATGAAAAAAACTATTTTGTTGTTGTTTTTTTTCGTAGAGTTTTCTCTGAATACAAAAACTGCAGAGATGAAAAAATGTAACGAATTGAAGTCACGTAAAGGTTGTTACATATATTTAATAAAATATAATTTTATAAAAAATATATTCAACAATTCATACAACTCATTTAAGTACTTATCACTTTGAGATAAGAAACACAATATCATTGTAAATATTATCGCTAGGCTTTCAGTAAAGTAACAATAAAAACCAGTGTTAATTCACGATACTGTACACACAATAGACATTTCATGAATTTCACGGTCGCTGTTGTAGTTACACGAGTGCTTGTAGAGTTAAGTAATTGTTCATTATTGAAAACTTCCAAGTAAATACTTGCCCATGCATGTGAAGTAAATGGAAATAGTATCACATATTAGCTTTCTCTTATTAGCAAATATAATATGGCAGCTTAACTCACTTAAATCCCTGGATTTCATTAGAAATTTAGAACTTTATGTTAGCATTCAATAACTTACACCACAGACTTAAAATTTTAAATTTATACAAATACTTGGGCAATCTTTTATTGCAAATTGGAAATAGGATTCTACAAAATATAGACAATAAGAAAAGCTTTGATAGTACCTCAAATTATTCATATCAAAAACAACTTTGCTTTCAGTCCTTGTAAGAAACCAGCGAGAGTTACACAGCAGCGTTGAATATCACCAATATTCTAACATGGATGTTAAAATATTACCCGCTCTGAAGGACAACTACATGTACCTTCTTGTGGATAAGGCAACCAATGAGGCCGCAGTTGTTGATCCAGTGGAGACCAAGACAGTCTTACAGGCTGTTCACGATCATCAACTTAAACTCACTACAGTCTTAACGACACACCATCACTGGTAAGTGAAAATATTATTATAAAATCGTCGGCATAACTTATTTTCCATATTTACTACATTTGCAGCTAAACTCCAATTATAAAATATCTTGTTTAGTTCATCAACCTAGGTTCTTACTTTTTTACCAAGGTTCTAAGATAATTCATGGCATTTTATCAAAAGCTAGGTTTTGTTTTAGTTCATTTGTAGACTTACTTTGGTTTGACAATCAAGTATAGCAGTACATACATCTTCGTCCAAACAATCTATGTTTATTTTAAAAATTTTCATTTTAATACAATTGAAATATTGTTGCAGGGATCATGCTGGCGGCAATGAAGAACTAGCTAAACAAGTTCCAGGGATCGAAGTTTATGGTGGTGATGACCGTATTGGTGCGCTGACTAAAAAAGTGGAGCACAATACGATCTTTAACATAGGGAATTTAATGGTTCAATGTCTGTTTACTCCCTGCCACACAATGGGCCATATCTGCTACTATGTGACTACTCCTGGAGAGGGATCAGATGGTGTTGTGTTTACAGGTGCGTCTTACTGCCTCTTGCAATGAAAGTCTAAAAATAATTTTCAAAATCAATAAGTAACTTATAATTAATGAATTTTATAGGAGACACGTTGTTCCTGGCTGGTTGTGGACGTTTCTTCGAAGGCAATGCTGAGCAGATGTACAATGCCTTCTCAATCCTTGGCAGCCTCCCAGATAATACCAAGGTTTATTGTGGTCATGAGTATACTTTACAAAATCTGAAATTTGCCTTACATGTTGAACCAAACAACAACGAAATTTTAAAGAAGATTGCATGGTCAGAACTGAGGCGTGAGGAGGGAAAGCCTACGGTTTGTATATTTTTATTTCATCACTTATTCATAAGTTATCTTACATGTATCAAGTTTATTGGACCTTTTTACATTAATAATCCTTCTTGTCCAGGTGCCATCAACAATCGGTGAGGAGAAGTCATACAATCCCTTTATGAGAGTGTATGAGGCAGAGGTAATGCAACATGCCAAAGCACAGAATGCTATTCAGACCATGAATAACATCCGTTTAGAGAAAGATTCATTCCAATAAATAATGTTATGTAACTTACCTTCCTTGTACACAACTTTTCAAACATTGAAAATACTAGATAGTAATAAATGTTGGTAGGTGGTAAAATTAATTTTCTATTCCTAAAAAACTTACTAATGTCTCCAGTTGAATAGTTGTGTACAATGAACAAAATATTTTGTCACAACTTTTCGGATTATCGGGGTTGATATATTTAAACTGCTTTACATTCTTTTTTGTTATTGTTTTTATTCTCGATTTATACTGAATGTCTGATGAGTTTATAAGAAAGCAGAAAATATGGAATAAATTTTTGTTATGGTCATTTGTTTTCTTTTTTGTTTTAAAACGTTTTTGGTTTTTAAATTGAAAATAAATTAATTTTATCAGAAAAAGAGCTAGGTCAATGGTATTTTCAATTTCTAATTGTATAAGACTAAAATAAATAACAAGTTGTATCTTATAAAATACTGTTTAATAGTTAACCTAATCTTAAAGCTGATGATCACAAGAAAATTAAGTGCTACTATTGGCTGGTGTCAGTAATTGTCATTGTTCCTTCTTTATGTAGGCTGACATTTGTTCTGCATATTTTTCCTTTGATCTCTCAAACATTGCTACGTACACCTAAAAAATAAAACAGTATGAATTGAAATATTTAAGAAATTAAACTGTCAAACACCAAGTGGTCACCGGTGACCGCAACCTATTGTTCTATAATTGTGTCCATAATGATGGTACTCGACGAGTTAATTAAAATAAATTAATCTAATGGGGTGGTCTGCTTGAATGACAAATGACACAATGCAATGAGACAACTGACCTATGTCATTAAGTTTGGTACTTTAACAGCATTCATCTATTAAACTGTCAAACACCAAGCGGTCACCGGTGACCGCAACCAATTGTTCTATAATTGTGTCTACAAAACCGGTACTCGACGAGTTAACACTGTATATAGCAGGATAGTAATTCCATCTCATTCATTCTCATTCTTTGCATCATATTTGTCATTTATGCAGAACACCTCATAATAATTTGTATTTTAAATCATACTAACGTAATTATTAAAATTGATTTATTTTTGTAAGTATTTACTCTATTTAATTATGTAGAGTTAAGATCTATCTCTTGTCTTGATAAAAACAACAAAAAATATAATCATTATTAAATTAAATCCTAAATACATGCAGATTTCCAGTATATTGAAATTAATATTATTCCAAAAAATAAAATAAATTGATGTATTTTGAATAATCAATAAATCAAAATAAAGTCTTACTCTTTTCTCTTCATTATTGAGGGCCCTCCAACGTGAAGCCAGTTGTCTGGTAACCTCTTGCTTTGAAGGTTCGGATCCCAACTCAGAGTTAGCCTCTGCTACCACCAGTGGCCGCTGTTCTTGGCAGAATTGGAAGAATGCATTGCAAGGCTTCTTAGGTGCGTTTGGATCTCTTTCAGGCTAGAAAAGACAAAATAGTCTTAAGTAAGCTGGAAAACATATGGCTTCATAAAAAAACTATAAAATTTAGTCAACAGGCATGTCTTTACTGGTTAGTGTAATATAGGTAAAATATCTTTGAGTGTTTACAAAATAATGAATGTGTTACCTTATCTGCTTTACTCTTTCGTTTAGGTCCAGGTTTCTTACCACCAGCAGCATTCTGTTTCTCAGTTTGTTTAGAGACTGCTTGAGTCTTGCCACCTGCACGAGCTGGTCGCACTATCACCTCGGGTTTCGTTTCAACCTCCAAGCATGCAGTTCTAAACTGATCCCCATGTCTGTCTAATCTTTCCACCAATAATTTAATATCTTTCCGGTACCGTTTGGTTATTTTCTTCGCTTCATGTATTCTGTAACAATATAAGACGCTCGCTCATTCACAAAATAGCGTTTATCAACAACAATTCAATTCAAAACACGAACCTATTAATAATTCTTTCGTTATCCTGTTGTAGGACCTCACATCGTTCTAGCAGCAACTGGTATTTTCGCCTATAAATCTCCTCTTCGGATGGTAAACTAACCATATCATCAGAGTCGTCAGAAATATTCGAGTTAATCTGTTGGACTGTCATTTTAATTTATTTCACAGCTTCAAAGTTCAACGCGATCAAATTTCTTTTTATTTAGCTGTCGGCTGTCAACTGGTTTTTGTTGTTTTGATGTTGGTATCAATGTCAAATACTCTGTTCCACGAAATAAAAAAAATACTACAAGATCGAATAATCGAATAATAAATAATCTGAAACCAATTTAAATGTTTTGCTATTGATGTATAATAATAATAATAATAAGCTTTATTGTACACCTTAAATAAATGTAATATACATTAACGTTATAATAAAAAATAGTAGGGTACAAAGGCGGCCTTATCACTAATAGCGATCTCTACCAGGCAACCTTTGGGTGAATGGAGCACTGTTCAATGAAAGTGGAGGTTGTTCTTGGTGTACTCAGGTACTTATAAATTAATATAGTATAACTTTGTATGAACTAAAAATAAACACGTATAAAATTCCAATTTCACATGTAAATAAATTAAGATAGAGGCAAGGAAAGAAGATGTAGATAAAACTAAGATTCAAAATAGAAAGAAGAAAAATATTTCAAGACTGCCTCGTTGGCCGAGTGGTCGCAAGTGCGACTGCCGGGCTCTCGGGGGTCTCGGGTTCGATTCCCGGGTCGAGTAAAGTATTATTGGGTTTTTTCAAAAAATTCAGTATAGTAGCACGGAGTCTGGATTGTGCCCGGTATATGGCAATAGGCTAACCCCCTATTACATGGGACTCATAACATAAATAGTGAAAAGTGGGTGTTACATTGTACAGTGGCATTAAGTCCCGTAATGTACACCTCTGCCTACCCCTTCGGGGATAAAAAGGTGTGATGTTATGTTATGTTATGTTAAAAATATTTCAGCTAGTACAAATTAGAATTTTTTGATATAGCTCAATAAATAATATTTTATTGGTTTATAGAATTTGTAACTAACAGTTTCTATCTAATAAAAAATTTTAATTGCTTTGCAGTTTGTTGCAACTTTTACCAATGAAACAATAGAATCAACATTTAGAACCGGAAATACGCTAATGGCGGCAGCGGGTTGGCGGGGGTCTGGTAGCAGGCAGGGCGGTTGAAATTACGTTCGCTTCGCGCGAAATGCGATTTTCCTCCGGACTCTGTGTCGATACGACAGCGATTGCGCGCATCGTGATTCGTCCAGATTCCAAAGAAAATTACATCGATCGCTCGTAAACACTGCGGATTCGAGTGTTCCCTTGATGTGAACAATGCAGTAGTTCTACCATGCATATCAATATTAATTAGGAATATCATGAAACAAACAGTGATAGAGTACTTTATGTTAGTTGTTTCAATTAAATATAATGGTGTAAAATGAAAAGTGATGTGTATTTCGTATACTGACGAAAGAAAAAACAAAACACCTCAAATGAATCCTCAAAACAGCAATGAGATGGATACTAGTTTTATCAAAGCGAACTATGTTTATTTGTTTCATATTGTTATTTCTATTATATTTATTTTATGCTTTGAATTCTTGTTTAGTTGACGAAAACAAGGTAAGTTTTCTACCAAAGATTATATTATAAGCAATACAAATACCTATAAATATGATTATGTGCCTACTTAGATAGTTAGGTACGAATTAAGCGCTAATTTTCAAATCCTTTCAGTTTACAATAAAATACATAATATTGAAGCAACACATAACGAAATACAAGGCAGCTGGTGCGCATTTCGCTTCACTTTTTGGATTCCACGTGGATGAAAATTATAAATACAGACATTTGAACCAAAATCAAGTGCCGGTGAAAAGATTACCTGACGCACTTGTTATTGGCGTTAAGAAATGTGGAACTAGAGCTTTACTGGAGTTCCTAAGGTGAGTCAGTGCATATGGAGACAGGGAAAGAAAGTAGGTCTCTGCAAGCTTTGAGGCTCAGAGTCTACGGTAATAGCCGTTACTGTTCCGGAAGTCAGCTACGCTGATAGGTATTGAATAGAACCGATACTTCCTCGTGGGTGCTATGCGACGGTGATCACAAGGGTAGATTTAGTAAAATAAGTAGGTACATAGCTATCCCATACTTAAGTGTCGATTTTTTCTCTCACAAACTACCTATACCTACGCCTTTTGCCGTTACTTAAAAATGTGATCACTGTTGGATTGGTCTATACCTAATATTTTAATATAGATAAAACAAGACCTAACATATCTAATATCTACCCAATAAACAACAAAGTTGTATCTGCTTAGTCCTAAAAAACAGTTTTTGTTCTTATTACTTCATGTTTCATTAGTAAATATTTTTGTAATATTTCGATAACCCCTGATATTGTTGTTGCTTCAGATTACATCCTGATGTGCGAGCCGCGGGGTCGGAGGTTCACTTCTTCGATAAATTTTATCACAAAGGCTTTGAATGGTATAGGTAAGTAATCGGTAACTACTTTAATTTCGCCAGTAGTGTTATTAGACCCATAGATTAGGGGTGTCAATCAAAAATAGGTACTTGATAATACGTAGTACCTACCTCGAGTTCCATTTTGACCGCCCTCCGAAGTCGCAGGACGGCGGACAAAGTGGAACCAGAGTACACTCAAACGACAAGGCAGAACTTATTTACCTCTAATACCTTTTGAAATTGGTAACTTAAAAAAACATTGTTTACTTATAGGGACAGAATGCCTCCCACTCTTGAAGGGCAGATTACGATGGAGAAGACCCCGTCGTACTGGGTGACGAGATCAGCTCCAAAGCGTGTGTACGCCATGAACCCTAGCGTCAAACTGTTGGCGGTTGTCCGAGATCCAGTTACTCGAGCCATCAGTGATTATACGCAGTCAGCCAGGTAATATATTTGTAACTCTATTGTGTCTATGAGCCGATTGCTTACCATCGGGTGATCCGTCTATATGGGGCGCGTTCCATTAAAATAGGTAGACTGAGGCACAAAATGAATCGGATTTTCGAACCGTTTCGCCAGTTATGTTATACGACCCATCTCTGATCCTATGTAATAAGATGCGAGTCTGTCGCCCTAGGTACATTGAGCGCAATGTGTATAATATATTATATAAAAAATGTCCAGCCTAATCAGTCGCAGGGCTAAAATTATCATCTTCTATTACCTTTTTTAATTTTTACCAACCTACTTAAAATTCTGTATAAGTAATAAATAACTAACTATGAGTGAAACGCATTTTCCACTGACTGGCTTATCCATGCTTTGCACAGTAAAAGACCATCACTCCCTCGTTTTGAAGACTTGGCCCTGGTGAACAGTTCGGACGGTTGGGGAGGATCACCATCAGTAGTAGACGCATCATGGCCGCCAGTTAGACTGGGAGTATATGCGAGGCCATTGCGACGCTGGCTGCGAAGGTTCCCGAGAGAAAGGCTTTTGCTAATCAGTGGGGAGAGATTGGTAGCTGATCCTGCAGCTGAAATGGCAAGAGTGCAGGTAAAATATTTTTTATTTTTCATATACTTTCTCTTCTTATTCAATCTAGCCAATGCAAAAACGTACCTTTGAGTGTCTCTAATTCCTGTACAGTCTTTATAAGGACTTCACATTAAAATTAATATGTTTTGTTTACAGGAATTCCTGGGCCTGAAACGCGTGATAACAGAAAAGCACTTCTATTTCAATTCTACCAAGGGCTTCCCTTGTTTATTGAAGTCTGAAAGTCGGTCTACTCCACACTGCTTAGGCAAGACTAAGGGTCGAAGTCACCCATACATAGATCCTAGAATTCTAGAAAGACTGAGAGACTTCTACAGGCCGTTCAATGAGAGATTTTACCAGTTGGCTGGGATGAACTTCGGATGGCCTTGATATGTTGTGATTTTGAATTTTTGCGGTATACGGATTGAAGAGAAACTAATAATATGCAAGTGGTAAGAAATTGGAAGCTTGTATTAGGTAATTTACAGGCATAATGCACTATAACAGCCTTACTCAAGGCGCAACTTATTTTTTCAAATTCGCCTTTACAAATCGAGTCCATATTTGTAAATCTTTTTACGCTTACATACGTAAATACCGCAACTTCCTATAATGTGATATTGTTAATTTAATAATATAATTTTAACACATTAAAACTATTTTGTTGTCACAGTCAAATTGAGGCTGAATGTGCCATAAAAATGTTGAATAATTTTATTACTAGATTTTAATACTCTATTTTATGTTATTGTTTAGTCAAGTTGCATCGTTATAAAATAAGTTCAAAGTTTTAAGTACCTAGTTGCTTCTTAGTTCTAGTCATCATTCCTTACTGAAGTGTTCCATTCAATATCATTTTACGGTGATCACTTCATAATTTATACGATTATGAAGTTCTATCATTACGTGTTGTTAATATGCTAATACGCTTAGTAATTTAGTAGATATAAGTATCTATGTATTATTGTTTAGCAAAACTGACGAGGCCGAGTGGTCGCAAGTGCGACTGCCGGGCAAGGGGTCTCGGGTTCGATTCCTGGATCGGGCAACTATTACTGGGTTTTTAAAAAATCTCAGTAGTAGCACGGAGTCCAGAATTTTGCCCGGTATATGGATAGGCTCACCCCCTATTACGTGGGACTCGTAATATAAATAGTGAAAAGTGGGTGTTACATTGTACAGTGGCATAATGTGCACCTCTGCCTACCCCTTCGGGGATAAAAGGCGTGATGTTATGTTATGATGTTATGTTTAGCAAAAATTAAAAAAATATGAGCACTTAATACACTAGTCAAGCGGTAGAATGATAACTTGATTTAGAAGTAGGTAGATAAGAATGTTGGTTAAATCCAAAATATTTCGCATCAAGCAGCATTTGCATATTTGATAGGGCCTGTTTCAAAACAAATAATTTTAGTATCTAAACACAACGAATAACAATGAGTACCGTCATTATAGACACAATTAAAGAACAATAGGTTGCGGTCACCGGTGTCCGCGCGGTGTTTGACAGTTTAAACTGTACTCAACGAGTTAATTACAATGTTATGCCGATATAAACTTACAATGTATAACAAAATATATCCTATATTTTTATTGTACCTTGCCAGTAATGTGAACTTAAGGTTGTGTATATTAAACGAAGGAGAGTAAGCATAACGTGCCATACGAGCTAGTTAGGAAATTAAAATTATATAGAATAGACACATTTTTATACTAAATGCGATATACGAAACTCCTCGAATTTTGTTCCTAAATATTTCTTAATTATGTCTCAATAAAATGTTATGACAATATAATATTAATTCAAATATACGGCTTCGTCACGTAAACTTCATCGAGAGCGAGCGGTGACGTTGGGCGCTCGATGAAGTTTTTATGAACATGAGTCCCGATCTGACCCGAAACTAGTAGAGATACTCTCGAAAAGTTCGCGTGAGTATAGCCGTGTATTTAAACGCCTGCGCGAAATGAAT